AGATAGATAGATAGATAGATAGATAGATAGATAGATAGATATGTTGTTTCATGTTGTTATACCTTGTTTGAGCCAGAATCCTGCAAAAATAAGTGATTGCAGATCATTAAACTGACACACATTAAAATTTTTATGCAGAAAATAACAAATCATCAAACATCCTCAAGGCTCAGAGTAAAACAAAACACTTACCACCTCAGCCAGAGCTGAAATGACTTTTCCCAGGGTAGTAAGTGATTTATTGATGTTTGCCCCTTCCTGGGATAGAAAGAGTAAATAGAAAATTGAATTACAATTCCAAACTAAAAAAATGACTGATGATAGAATGAAGTGGGGTACTGTCAAAATGCCAGTATGCGCTCTGTGCACTAATAGCAGGAAGTACAGGAAGTATGTAGAGAGAATTAGAGGACAAAGGGAAAAAGAGAAAGAGACATTTGTAGATGTTAGAAAAGACAAGAAACAGAGGGGATACAATGATGTGGAAGACCACAGAGATACTAAAGGAGTTAAACAGAGGGCATGAAAGCACAACAGACAATTGGGGATAGGAAGTGAATATATATATATTAGTCACCTTGAGCCGTGTGCCTTTGGCTCCAGTGGAATCTGCTCTCTCACTGCCGGCTAAATCCACCAGACTGATTTTGCTGACCTGCCAGAGAAGTTCAGAATAGGTCAATAATGAACACGCTGAGAAATGCACAGGCCCATATCACCTTTCACATGACCCATACAGAGAAGAAAAAAAAAACCTCTCAATGTCAAAAGTCATCCAACACAGCCCTGTGTAAGGGTGAGAGACAAGTGGCCTAACCTTTCGATCTAAACGGAGCTGTTTATTGTGACTGACAGGGTCTGTAATATGCAACAGCAGCACAAACCTTTTCGGAAGTGTTGTCTGTTTCAGAGTCATGGCGCTTCTGGGTGAAGATGATGTTGAAGACAGCGTGTGAACGGCTGCTGGTCTCATTCATGTTAGTGGCAGCTACTGTCCTGGATAACAGAATTTCACCATTCAGAAACTTCATTAATATTGACTGCTCAGACTTTATACCTTGTGAGGAAGTGCTGTGTTTTTAAATTTTTCTCAAGTCTCTTTAAATCATAATATCATTGCATTTGCACTAACTTCTGCCTCTGTGATTCATCTGATGACCAACAAAATGTTTCCCTGATGTATTTAGATCCAATCCTTAATGTACAGTACTGTCCAAAGGTTTGAAGGCAGTATGTTTTTTTTCTTTCATTCAGTAAAAATGTATTCATTTTTCAAAAGTGACAGTAAAGACGTTTACATTGTTACAAAAACTTTATTTTAAATAAATTTAATAAATTCTATATTCTTCAAATAATCCTGAAAAAAACCACAACTCCACAAAAATATTAAGTAGAAACCATTGATAATAAGAAATGTTACTTTGTTACTTGATGTTCAGAAATGTGCAGCAAATCAGCATATTACAATGATTTCTGAAGAATCATGTGACACTGGCAGCTATTGAAAATTCAGTTTTGTCATTACAGGAATAAATTACTTTTTAAAACATTTTACGATAGAAAATATATATTTTAAATGCAATAATATTTGTATTTTATTTTTGATCTTGGTGTCTTCATATTCATCAAATGCAGCTAAAATAAAAATAAAAACTCCTAATTATTAATTACATTAATGAGCTCCTGTCTGTTTTGCCAAACATTAACTTACATAACAGACTAAATGTATAACGTAGGAGGAAAGTATAGTGCATTGGCAGTGGTGCATCTCAACACCTTGAGATTAGAGAACTGTTGACTGATGCTAAACTGAGGAAACAGGAATGCACTAACATAATGCCTCCTGGAATTAAATGGTCCATTTGTTTCCATGATGATAAGCCTGAACAATAAGCAAATATTTGTTTTCCTCTCAATGTGGCCATGAAGACCTTGAAAAAACACATGTGACCAGGACCACTGGTCTGTGCAGCAAAAGGCTATCATTGTTTATTTCTAGAAGCCAGAATAGAATAGAATAGAATAGAACAGAACAGAATAGAATAGAATCGAAAAGAATGCTTTCGCATTGTGCCAGAATGACTGTAATTACAAAATAGCAGCTTTGAAATTCTAGTTTGTGCTGATCATGTCCTCAGACTCAGAAATGATTTGTTTCTATGACAACGCTCAAAATCCCCATGGCTTTGTTTTAGAAGACAGCAAATAATTTAATGACTACATTAATTCACCTCTATATTATCTCTCTAAATGTTTAAAAACAAACATAATGCACTTGGGCAATAAACTCAAATATGAGTTCAGGTCCCTGCCTAAGAGTAGGTCATATGTTTTTTTTTCTCTTTTGCAGTTTGTAAGGTAGCTATCCTTCAATGTAAAAAGTCTGCAAAGTTGTTAATCAAAAAAGTGCAAGATAAATAAAGATATTGTCTCTCAAAAGTCAATGTCGACTCAGAATCGCCTTACCGAGTCGTTATATTTTCGAATCTTCTGCCTGTTACCAATCTACGTCACTGGGTAACACATTTGCATAATCCCCGCCTGCCCACGAAATACGAACACTCTCTGTGTCGAGAAGATGCTGTGTTCCACGATACCACAGCAATACAATTCGAACCTTTTGTTGTGCTCGTCATTTTACCAAGGACTGCTTCTCTAATCTTGCCTTTTATCGTCGTTGGCTTCTAATCTTCTTTATTTGGACCAACAAGCGTCTCTGAAGCACAACCTGTAAGTACGATTGATACGTTATGTGTACATTTTCAATTGAGTGCTCAAAATATCTAGTTTTTTGTGCTAATATGTGATGTATACCTAGTGCAGCTTTAGGTTTCCAGGTAAAGCACGATATTACTGAGGCTTACTGAAATAGTTCTGATAATTCGCTGTGAACCCACTATTTCCTAAGAATGTGTCGATTAATGTAGACTGTCGTTGTTCTAATTACTTCGTTTAATAATAAAGAATGTAGTGTAGCGCACAGACTTTATAATCATTGTGAAAGTGCTGTTTATGTAGTTATATGGTTAATGCAGGGAGTAAAAGACCCCGTAGAGAGAAACGAGTTAGTTAGGCTGGTGAGCATACAGCTGTTCTGCGTTATAATTAAAGGTTAAGACACAGAGCGTCTTTTGTCTGTCGTTCTTCAGACATTACAGTAGACATATTTTGGTTTTCAAACTGTATTGTTTCATCAGTTAGTCACGTTAGCACTCGGCTAACGTATCCACCATTATCGTTTTGTTAAGTGTTTACGGTTTAGCAGCTAAACTTTAGCTGTGGGCACGATCCGCTTGCATAAGTGTTAAACAAAATGTTTTTATGTCATTATTTTAAGAACTGATTGGAGCACTATATTATTGTTTTATGTAAAGGTGCATGCTAGGGTTGCCAGGTTGTCACAACAAAACCCACCCAATTGCTACTCAAAACTAGCCAAATCGTGTTTCGAGGGTGGTCCCCCGTTTAAAAATCGCGTTCACACTTTCAGTCGGGGTTCCCCTGATAAATTCGCATTCCAGTGCCTAAATATGACGTTACTGGGGTCGCTACAACACGCGACATCAAAAACAACCGCGGACTTGGCAACACAGATGGTTTGCTAACTTGCTCAAGCACTCCTCTTTGTGCCAATCACAACAGGCTTGGCCAGCTGACCAATCAGAGCAGAGTAGGCTTATGGAAGGGAGGGGTTTACAGACATTTCGCTCAGAACTGAATCGAACGAACATTTTCGAAATCGTGGACAAATGACTCTATGTTTAAATGTATATTCCGGGAAAATTACAGTGTTTTCTGACCTTAGATGCATTTAAACCTGTTGTAGGGGACTCCAACACAATATTAGGACACTTTAAAAAACCATATGACCTGCTCTTTAAGTTGTTTTTGTGGCAGAATTCATTTTGGTTTCATTGCATCATGACAGTCAAATCAGAAAATTTGGAATATTCATAATATATATTCCAACAAAAAAAAAAAATCCCCATTTATAATTATGTGTTTAATATACAATACCATTAAATACACTACCATTCAAAAATGTTAAAGGCTGTTTTTTTAAGCATTCATATTTTTTTTGTGGAAATTGGGATACATTTTTACAGGATTCTTTGATTAATAGAAAGTTCAAAAGAGCTGTGCTATTTAAAAAATAATCTAAAATGTTAAATGTCTATACTGTCACTTTTAATAAGTTAATTAGTTTAATTTGTCTTGGATTAATAAAATACTAATGTCTTTTGAAAAAATCTTTCTGACCCAAATTTTTGAACAGTAATGTACATTAATAGTTTTTACTTGTTGGAAAATCATAATTACAGCAATACAGACATGGCATGAACACTCCATTACAATAGAATAGAATAGAACACCTAGCCTTATTCCCTGAGTCCATCAGGTCTTGAATGTCATTATATGATGTGACGGCGAGTTTGGACAGATCCTCTACATACGGGCCCAGTAATGGGTGCTCTCGCACACGCAGATTTCCTTTGTTTTTTGGGTTCAGAAGATCTCGTACCCTTTCACAGTAAATCTCCATATAACTAACCTAAAAGGATGAAAATAATAGACTGTTAAAAGCAAAAAACAATCTACTTGAGGATTAAAACTAAAAATCATATACAAAATTTACAGTAAAAAGTAATAACAATATTGCTAAAGTGTTAATGACATGATAATTAATTTTTTTTTATTTATTTTTTTTACTATAGGTAATTTTTCGTAATCGCTGTGATAACAGGGCACAGATTCAAACACACCATATATATATAAAAGCAGCTGCTTTGGAATTAAGCTACACTCAGATTTGAAACAATAAAAAAAATCTTACCTCCACAGAATAGGACATGTTGTTATCAGTATTGTGGTCATTAAACTTGGTAAAAAGGTCTTCACACAGCTGATGTTTAGGATTGAAGGGAGAAGAGGAAAGAGAGAGACATAATAAAGAGAGATTAGTAAGCGAATAATCATTTTCTTACTGTGTGTACTAGTCAGCTTGGTGTTTGACTTGCCATTTAATTTTGTTTGAATTTATCTTGTTCACACTGCCTCTGAATACATTATAATTTTTCCTGTTTATAAAGCAATGCCAAAGTGACAGGAGAGACCATATGCCCTTTAGATGTACAAAAAGGGCAATTTAGCAGCTGAAAATTGGTTTATAAGTACTTAAATTGATATTTAGAAATGCTTATTCTTCATATTTGCTTATTTATGCATCTGTTTTACCAGTGGAATGATCCCCTGCTGGTCCTTTTCCTGTTTGCCCATCATGGTATAAGATTTACCGGCCCCAGTCTGGCCATATGCAAAAATACAAACGTTGTAGCCCTCAAAGGCATGAAGTAACATTTCCTCTCCAATGTCTCTGAACACCTGCTGCTGGGAGGCAAAGTTGATATCTTCTGGCTGTGGATAGATGAAGAAAAATATATACTGCATGATCTTTGACCATTTAAGGGTATTACGTCTATCATGTTTTGTGTGTTTCACTGCAAGCAATGCTGATTTTTGTTTCATTTCATTGAACTACTGACTTACCGAGGTATGTGACCAGTAGGAGTAATCAAAATTGAAGCTTTTGGTTTCTTTGGGTGCTTTGGGGTTGATGATGGCTGAAAGACAAGGAAAAGAATGGCAGAGAATGAGTAAGGTTAATAAAACATGTTCGAGATCCTGAGTGGACATCTAATACTCTGTTGTCAGCCACTAAATGGCCGCCACACAGTCAATAAGTGCTAAGTCACTGTAGTTTGTCTAAATGGGTCCATGCCGATGTGCTCTAAAACCCTGCTGCTCTCACCAGCAGTAAATGAAATTCAACAGAGAGAGGCAGGAATCATACCAATATGATAATGGATATAAATGAAAATGACCTATTGCAGGCACCGTCACAGGAAGATTTGAGTCATCTGAACTTACATAGTCAAAGTAAATGCTATTTAGGTGCATAAACTAGTATAAAATGAGCTAGTATAATAGTATGAAACAGAAATGTCGATTGACTGTCTTTACTTTACAGTAATACATTCTTATGATGGCAAAGCTGAATTTTCAGCAGCCATTTCTGCAGTCTTTAGTGTCACATGATTCTTTAAAAATCATTCCAGTATGCTGATTTGCTGCTCAAGGAACAGTTCTTATTAATATTATTATCAATGTTGAAAAAGTTTATGCTGCTTAATATTTTTGTGGAAACCATAATAAAAAAAATTTCTGGATTCTTTGATTAATATAAAGTTGAGAAGAACAGCATTTGTATGAAATAGAGAATGTTTGTAACATTATAAAATGCTTTTACTGTCACTTTTGAACAATGTAATGTGTCTCTGCATGATATATACAGCATAAGTGTGTAAAAAAAAAAACTACTGACCCCAATCTTGTGAATGATCATGCATGCTGTATACAGTAATATGTAATTTCACCCTAAATTAAACATTTTTGAACATTTTTGTTTTAGGATTTAGAACAATTTAAAACATGCTAAAATGTTACGATGTAAAATTAATAAGATTTATTAAAGGTTCTGAACGATTTCTAGTGCACTAATAAAATAATAATAATAATAAAAGGGAAGTCGTGGCCTAATGGTTAGAGAGTCGGACTTGTAACCCAAAGGTTGCGAGTTTGAGTCTCCGGTCTGGCAGGAACTGTAGGTGGGGGGAGTGAATATACAGTAGGGCTGGGTATCGATTCAGATGTTCCAATTCGATTCGATTTTCAAGCTCTCAATTCGATTCGATTTTCGATTCGATATTCGATTCGATTTGACTATATGAATGAATATAGATTTAATACAAATCCTATATTTATAGAAAATGAACAGTGAATATAAGATTACAAATGGTTAATTAATAGGAAATTAAGAGCCACAAACCTGTATATTAAACACTTTTTATTTTAGGTACACTTGGGTACAATAAAACAAAACCCAACTCTATATTTCAAATGCATACAATGAATAGACAGAATTTTGATGCAAGATGAAAAACTGATGCTGAAAATT